AAATAAAATAAAATAAAATAAAAATAAAAATAAACTCCCAGAATTCCTCCCCCAGTCATGTTGGCTCAGGAACTCTGGCACACCTCTTCTGTAGGTGTGGCCTGCTTTCCGGGTCCACTGGTGGAACCTCTTCTAACCGGTTTGGTAGATTTGATGAACCGGTTCTACCGAATAGGTGCGAACTGGTAGGAACCCACCTCTGATTGGTGCCCATTAGTGGCTATGTACCTTGGGTAACTAGAGCTGGGGGAGGGGGGGGGGAAGCTGCTGTAAAAGCCAGAAGTGGAAAGGTTATTTGACCCATAGGTCTTCACTGTGCCATAAGATACTCTTTTGGTTTTGATCCACCAGACTAGTAGGATGACTGCTCTGCCACTCTCCAAATAGATTAATTGCTTGGTATAAAATGTGTTTGAGAGATAGTGAGAAGTAAGTAAAGTGCTATAAAAACAACCATTTTGAAAATATCAGTCATTTGTCCTCACTAACGCAGTGGAATCAAGTACACTAAAAAGATGAATAAAAATTAAAAAAAAATGTTTTTATTTTAACCCTAGTGCTTTAAAAAGTACGTCTCCAGCCCCTCCAAGTGGTCGTTTTTTTAGGCATTCTTAGTAAATATCATTCACTAAAATTAACCTGTTACTGAAGATGTTTTTACATTTTATATATTTTTAACTTCTGTTTCGATGTCAAAGGAGTATAGTAGCAATAACACTAGCACTTAGACTTCACGGTGCTTTATAGCCCTCTCTAAGTGGTTTACAGAGTCAGCCTATTGTCCCCAGCAATCTGGGTCCTCATTTTATCCACCTCGGAAGGATGGAAGGATGAGTCAACCTTGAGCCTGGTGAGATTCGATCTGCCAAACTGCTGGCAGCTGGCGATCAGCAGAAGTAGCCTGCAGTACTGCACTCTAACCACTGCGCCACCGTGGCTCATTTATTTCTTCATGAGAGCATCCTATTGGCCATTAAGTTAAGCCAACATGAAGTAGTGAACAGAGTGTTGGACTGGACTGGGGAGATGTAGAATCATACCCCCATTCAATGGGAAACAAGCTCCCTTGGGGTCCATCCATAGCTCTAAGTTTCCAGGTACCGCCTTCTGATTTAGATTGGGAGGTCTCAATTAGAAGATAGATTAGAAAGTAGGCATCTCACAGTACAGCAAACCTTCCTGANCCTTCTGTTAATTTGATTGCATTTGTGTGCATAGCGGAGGGTGAGGTTCATATTCAATTTGCCAGCATTTAGGGACAGAGGTAGGCTTTCATCTTGCTAGGTTTGATGCGTTGCCTTCAAGGATTTCCGTGTGCTTGGAAAGCTGCAAATAATTGAATGGCACTGCCCAAGTGATGGTTGACTCATGCATTTCCCCCCTCTTTTTCTCACTTGAACTCAGGTTCAAACCCACCTGGAGAACCCCACAAAGTACCACATCCAACAGGCACAGAGACAGCAAGTCAAGCAGTATCTTTCTACAGCTATGGGGAGTAAGATGTCAACGCAGGCGTTAACCGGAAGTAGCCCTGGTGCACCCACCTGCTCCCCACAGGGTGTTTCAGGTCCTGAGCCTGCACCCGGTTTGGCTCACCAGCAGGGAGTGGCAGGAAGCACTGGGAGTGCCCCCAATAGCCCTATGGCGATGCTCAACATTGGTTCCAATTCTGAGAAAGAAGTGAGTAGAAATTCCCCCTATCGCTTTCATCTCTCCTATTCCCACAGCCTTTCTTTGCCATTTCCCTCCATTTTGCTTGTTGAATATTGCCAGTAGCCTCCCCCACTCCCAAATGTCAGATATATCTAATCCCGCCTGCTCTCCTGTCTGTCAGATTGACGATGTCATTGATGAGATTATCAGCCTGGAATCCAGCTACAATGAGGAAATCCTGAACTATGGTGGCTTGCAGATGCCCAGCACTGTGAGTAGTTTTTGCTTTAAAAAAAGAAAAAGACATATGGATGCTTAAAGAAAAGCGGAGGTGGTGGGAAACCTAGATTTGGAAATTAGGATGGAACAGGTAATTTTTATTTTATGTCGTTGGTTTAAATAGGAAAAAAAAAACTTGCGACATCATAAAGACTGACCAATGTAGGGTTTACATTTTCATAGGCCATAGTTTGACTTCAGCAAATGGAAGTTGATAGCATGAAAAGTACAGGTAGTCCTCAACTTACGATCACAATTGAGTCCAAAATTTATGTTGCTAAGTGAGAAATTTGATGTCCCATTGTACAACTTTTCTCGCCACATTTGTTAAGTGAATCACCGCAGTTGTTAGATTAGTGACATGGTTGCTAAGTGAATCTGGCTTCCCTATTGACTTTGCTTCCCAGAAGGTTGCAAAAAGGTGGTCACATGACCCCAGGCACTGCGACTGTCATAAATGTGAGCGAGTTGTCAATCATGCAAATGTAAATCACATGATCCTGGGGCTGGTAGAAGGGCCGTAAGTGTGAAAAAATGGTCATAAACCACTTTTTTTCAATGCCGTA